AAAAAAAAATAAAAATAAAAATAAAAGAATTGCATGAGAATTATATACACTTATATTTCAAAAAATTATATAAAATACTCCCTACTTCATAAATTCTATCTGGTCGATCAAAGCAGGACATTTTTATGATTTGTGCCTCTTGTTAATTTATTATTTTTGATTTGATTTTTAATATTTTTGTATAAGATATTAAACATTATTACTCTCGCGTAGAATTTGTAATATTATACTATTAGTAAAAAATTATAGCCAAAACTTACCTGTCCATCAAAGTCTTCACATACATCACACAACAAACGCGAATGTATTCACTGTAGTTGTCTGTTACGTTTCAGATAACCGTGTGCGCGGACAAAGAGACAATCTCAAAGACCAACATCTTTCCTACGAAAATCTTCCACCACCTGTTTTTTTTATATGACAAAAAAATAAAATGCCTTTCACTATTMGCCAAGAACAACTCGGAAAATGAATGACATAAAATCAGCAGTGTGTACTAGTATACATAATCCGAGAGAAAATATACAACCCAAATAGTATTATTAAAATTAGTACCTTTATAAATGATAACATATTAATTATATTCAAGATTATCGTTATTTCAAATAACCGGTATGGAACACTACCCGTATACTTTGTATTGTTAATTTAATTAGTATACCAAAACAAAATAATTAATTCATATAATAATAAATTGTGATAATTCTAAGGGAGACATGCTAAGGGTATGGTTTGAACATTCACTATGTACAGTAATATAAATAAAGTGGTACAATTCAATAAATATAATGATTCAATATGGTGTTTGAAAATAAAATTATTGCTTGTTGAGAACTGTTATTACTCGTTTCGTTGAAATAATAATACCTATGTTTTAAATTATTTTCTGAATGATATTAAAAACGTATAATACGATATAATTAGCAATCTGTGAAAAACATGTTCACGTTATGTGCGTTTTATTATACTTTGTCAAAATATTTAAATTACAAAAATTAACGTCCAGCTCATTGTATACATTTTTGGGTCCGTGTGACAACTCTAAGAGCTCATTAAAAGCCGTCTCAGTATTTGCGTTTTGGTTTAACGATATCAATATTCAATAATGCACTAATTGTATATGATATTATAAAAGTTACGTATACCTACCTCTAATACTCGTGTAAAATATTGATATTTAAAATTGGTATTATCTAAGAGTATAAAATACTATTATTTATTGTAAAGAGTTGTAGATTATGATTTCAGTTAAAAAAAAAATTAAAATTCTGTTCATCCTAATATTGTGGATATATTTTTAAATATTTTAAAAGTATGAAGATAGTAAATAATTGACAAAATAATGTAAAATATATTTTCTGTACTAAAATGATGATAACACGGCGTTCAGGATAGGCTATTTCGCTACATTTCTGTCATGAGTCTATTTTTTCGTCCTCTCATAAATTTTAATATGAACATCTATAGTATTTGTCAAAATACATAAGTAGGGACAGGAAACATAGGTGTATTCTGCTATTATAAGTAAAAAGTGAAATAAGACGTATATTGCGCGATGATTCTGATAAACAATTTTAAACTAACTTACTTGTACATTTTTTATGCAGTTTGCGTGTTTTATTTTTTCCAGGTGCTCTTTCATTTATCAGATCCTGTTAGAAATTTGAATTCAGGCATTTTAAATGACTGTTTACGATAGATTAAATATCGGTTATATTTTTAGACACGATATTTTGTTATTTTATTTTTATAATGTAAAGAAACTAAACAAAGTTGTCTTGTGTGTACGTTTCATTTTTAATGTAGTTAAGCTAAAAAAAAAATATATCAAATGAAAATAATAAATATCAATTATTAGGTATTTTATTTTATCACATACATTTTTGACTTTTTCATTATAACTTACTATTTTTTTTTTCATTTGTACACACTAAATGCATAATAATATAAAATTTCTTAGAAATATAATCTGCAATAAATAATCATTTTAAATAAAATATATATCATATTTAATTGTAAGAAAACAATTGTACAAAAATAAAAAACAATGGTATTTACACTTCGCGCTTTGATTGGTTAACTTATTATCAGTGAAGTTAACATGGAGTGAAAAAAAACAAGGAACTCGACAGTTAAAAATTTATTAAAATACTTGTTAAGTACTTTTTAAATAATGTAGCGCTCGAATTAAGTTTAGTTAAAATGAATTCTTTCGGATTTAACACTTATTTATGTAGTAAAAAATAACAACAATATTATAGAAAAAAATGATTGATTGTGTGTTTATAAAATTACCAATATATTATACAGTAAATGAATCACTGTAATCGGTGTAATTTGACATACAATTTTAAAAATCAATCATTAGTAACATTCTGTTTATAATATAATAGGTAGAATTTGATCAGAAGTGAACGAACTCATGTTTTATGACGTCGGAAAATCAGCCCATTTGTGTAGATTTAGTGATGGAATAATTCCACTGCGGCATGGTACTCGAGGGTTTCTAAACAAACAATGTTCTTAATTTAATTAAAATAATTGTTATTTTCTATGTATAGTGTACATGATAATATTCATCAAACATTCTTCAATAAATCATTCATCTAAAAGCTTCATTAATGAATTACAGTACATTAATTTATGTTTAAACAATTTGTAGTGAACGTCAGATACCTAAACTAATAAAAGTATTTATCTTATAATATAATGTATACTGCATTTCTTACATTTCATGATCTGGAAGAACAATTGGCCACAATTGAATAGTGTCGATCAAATCGGTATTGTCACATAACACTCGAGCTAATCTAGTTTTTCGGATTTCACGAAGTTGATCTAAATAATATTAATCCATGTCTTAAAAGATGATTTTTTAAATTCTTAATCGACTACATCATTTATTATATAGATTTTTTTAAATACCTGGAGTAAACGAAGATGGTTGATTTGGCAGTTCGTACCAAAACCGATCACCTCTTCTTGCATAACTAAATTGAGTAGCTAAAATACAAGAGAATACTGGACCTGCCATACTTCCGGGTAAAGGTTTTTCGGATACACCACCAGACCATAAATCTACATCTTCTGGAGAGCTGTAAAAACAAATTTAATTTAATAAATTATAACGTTAAACTTCTTTTTTAGATTCACGCTTACTCATAAATGGTCGAATATCGGTGAATAGTGGAGTTAGGCATATCTCCGGATAAACTTTGAAATAAGTCTGATGAAGGAAGTCCACAGAATTTTCTAATACAAACATATAATTGCAATGGTTAGTGTTTAAAAAAAAAAAAACCGAAGACTTCACTCTGCTGTATATAATTATTTTTGAAGTACTTTCTCATTGATAAGGACACCTAGTCTGATATTATATTATTTATATTGAATTTGAATTAAATAATAAATCATTGTACACATAACAAGGTTTTAAGTATAGAACTAAGACTATACTTCTAAAGATATT